CCCCCACCCCCCGGAACATCACGTCCAGATCTTGGCGCTTCAGCTGATCGACGAGATGTTAAGGGCGACAGGGGAGCACTTCCGGTTCAGCCGAATATTCGGATACCAGGTATAGATACAACACGGCATACTGATTTATTTTTGATCGGTTTCCGACGGCTCTTTACTCGAACGGTCAGTGCCTTACCAGTTGTTTTCTTTTGGTCAATTTGTTTTATTTTTCCGAGTGGTTTGTACCCTATTTTTGTTTTCGTTTCCCTGCGGCGTCGCGTGTGTGTCGGGATTTGAGACCACGGGCTCCCCTTTTTTTGTGGACTGTAGAGCTAATGTGAGAAACAACAACAACAAAACCACTGAACAATTAAGTGTATTTCAAGGCACCGCAGGAGGGAAAAGGCGGGGCAGTAACGAAGTGAACGGATGGTAGCTTCTGCGTGACAGAGGCTGGTATGTCAAACCTACGTATAACACGGAGAGGTGTGCAGAAGCGCCAGAATTGATGGGGGGCCGGCAGGCACCAAAACACACACGCAACGATGGCTCTGGCCAAGTGCAAGGCATATATTTGGTACATAACCACGGATTTTACCAAGTTACCCAAAAAGAGACGGGAACGGTTTTCATCAGTGCGAAGACTGTAACAACAGACAGAGAGGCCAGAGAAAAAAATTACAAAAATAGCGCGGAGAACAAGTGCGGAAAGGAAAGTTGTTAGAAAAACTAATAGTGGCGTTTCGCAAACGAAACTGAACCTGAACATAGAGAAAGGGGTTTGCACAAAAGGAGCTTTTCGTGCGGGGGGTGTAGTCAGTAGAAAATGCGTCTTTTTGATAATGGTTGGGGCCGTAAATCGAAAAATCAAACTGAAAACCCCGCACCTCCGGTACATGTTTTTTTGGCGGACAATAGGAGGACGCACGGTGAACCAGCTTGATTCGCGTTCAATCCGTTTTCATTGGACGAATGTACAGTATGACACAAGATAACACACCCCCTGGACCGATTTTCCAAGCTCGATTACTGCACGACGAAGAGGATGCATGAACGAAACGATACATTTTCGAAAAGCTCCCGACGAGACGGTTCCAACGCCACCGTTTTCGGCGCTGTGACTGTTCCTGCAGTTGAGAAATCGAGCTTCGAAAATTGGCCAAGGGAGTGTGTTATCTTGTGTCATTTACGGTACGCACCTACGAATGGCGACGACTAAGTACCAAGAGATCCAGCAGTTCGGTCAAACGTCGGGTTGCTGGATGCATGTACACACAGTTCACGATAACACCGCTATTTGTAAGATTTTGTCTCATTGGCTGCTGCTGCTGTCAAGGCATGCGACGCCGCTCACACACAAGCTCCGGCACTTTCGAGCA